AAGGCACTCAAATAATTTCTTGAAGTTAACTGGGCAGTTTATATGTATGAACTGCCCAGTTAACTTCAAGAAATTATTTGAGTGCCTTCCCGATCGAATTTTGAGCTGAAATTTGGTATGGATAAACTAGACTTCATGAAGAACATGCTCAAAAAATTTCATCAAAAAATTCCACCGGGAAGTGCCCGAAATGCCCTCGGCCGGACGGCGGTTCCCGTCAGGCCGGCTGGACATGAAAAGTCCTCTCTATATATATATATATATATATATATATATATATATATATATATAGTAATCTTCCGGTCAGGAATTTCCTGACCGGAGCGCCGTCCGGCCTCCTCCTTTTGGGGTCCTTCCCGGTGGTATTTTTTGCTCAATTTTTTTGTGTATGTTCCTCATCAAGTCTAGTTCATCCATACCAAATTTCAGCCAAATATTCAATTGGGAAGGTCGTCAAATGATTTTTGCAAGTTAACTGGTCCGGAAAATACATATTCTGGACCAGTTAACTTGCAAAAATCATTTGACAACTTTCCCGATTGAATTTTTTGCTGAAATTTGGTATGGATGAACTAGACTTGATGAAGAACATACACACAAAATTTGAGAAAAAAATACCACCGGGAAGGCCCCCAAATGGAGGAGGCCGGACGGCCTTCCTGTCCGGAAATTCCGGACACGAATATTCCTATATATATATATATATATATATATATAAATATATAATAGAGATCAAATACAAACCCTCCTTACTTAACACACTACAAACTCATCTTGGTCATCCGATGAGTTGATCTAAACGCTATGAAGGCACGGTGACATTTTTTGTAATAAAAGCTAACTTTTTTAGGATGCAACTCTTTGAACGTTAATATGCAACTGCTATTTTATGGCTGAAACACTTAGAACCTCAATATGCAATTCAAATACCGTAAAGGTGCATCGTACAAACGTTTGCACAATAAGCACATTATGTACCTGATCCGTCCCCTATATATATGCATGTATGTATTTACATTCTAAATTATGTCCAAATTATATAGTTGAAAACCAAATTGTGTCCCCTAGGTCAGTTCGAAATTTATTAAATCTACAAAAAACCTTCTTATTTAGAACCAACAAATGTTAGAGAACTTAACTGTGAGTCCAAATTGCATTTCTCAAGAACCGGGCCTAAAAAGTCAAAGTAAATGAGTAACCCAAAATTGTGTTGGGGTTTGTAGGGTGAGGCTAAGAGTGCACAGCTGATTGGGCAAGCCATAGCGAATAACCCAGCCTTCATCACACTGAGGAAGATTGAAGCAGCCCGAGAAATCTCCCAAACCATATCAAATTCATCAAACAGGGTGTACTTGAGTTCTGATGATTTGCTGCTCAACCTTCAAGATATGAACCTGGATGGTGCCAAGAAATGAGAAAAAAGTTTTCTTGTAAACCAACCAACGCAGAGATAAACTGTTCAGTTTAGTTATGCTTGCTTTTGCTGGTGGTTGTTAAGTGAGACTGGAAGAGAACACACAAAATGTTACTACCGACTGTCAGTAAAACAATGCAGGCGTCTTTCTATTTTCTTTTTCCTAATTCAGAATGGTGATGGTTTGATAGAATATGAGATCTTTCACATTCATATTACAAGGGGTTATGCAAATCGGAAAAACAAATATTTGATGCAAACATATTAGCATTTGGAATCATTGTCTTGGAATTTACAAATTTACAGTGCTGCTGGTTAAGTGGTTAAATTTTATTTAACGGCATATCATAACATTGTTCGGGCTGTCCGTCTTTGCATTGTTTAAGAATCTAATAGATAAATGTTTTAAATAGAAATTTATAATATAACAAAGATTGTCTCATATTTATTTTTTGGTCTGTCGTTAAAATTTTTTCATATCAAATTTGGGAGTATTTGTATAGTTTTAAATTATTTTTAATTTATTCATGTTTTCTCAATTCAATATAATTTACATAAATTTACTTTTTTGGTAGTTACATCACACTATCCTGTACAAACATAAAGGAGATGGATGTAGTAACGGTGTACCTTTTACATTTTTTACACTTTGTGCATCTCTATAAAAAAAAGTTCAATTATGACTGCTTAATTTGTTAAGCAATAACCTCAGACAGTAAAAAAAACAATGACCTCAGAAGGCTCAGAGGCTCAGAGCACTGGCTGCTTGAGTATCTCCATATATAATTTAAATGGTGTGAGGTAAACATCCAAAACTTGCATAAACATGCACATGTAATTTAAATACTCTAAACTTTAAATAAAAAGTTATTTTGCACCATTGTTATGTATTATTTTTTTCAAAAATGTAAATTTATAAGGTTAATTGCATAATTTAAAATAGAAAAGGAAAAGTGTTGCAATTATATAGATTGGGGTCACATTATTTATTTCCTAATGCAAGCTTAAAATGTTAATTGCGTTTTCATGAATTCTAAAATATTTTAAATTATGCAATTAACACCATAAATTTTACATTTTTGAAAGAAATAATACTTGACTATGATGCTAAAATAACTTTTTTATATAAAGTTTGGGGTATTTAAATTAGATATGCAAATTTGGGGTGTTAATTCCAAACTCTTCAAAGTTTGGGGTATTTTAATTATTTTTCCCATTTGAAATTTGCATAAATTCTTTGTAGAATCTGAAATTTTTGATAATGTGCATCTTTGCGCAACTTGTGGTATCATGGGTTTCCCAGGGCGCCCAGTTTGTAATTTTCTTCTTTTTTACAAAAATGTTTAAGAAAAATGTTATCTGGAGTGGTAAATCAGAAAATAATAATAACAAAATTGTCTAACATTCGTTTAACAAAAGAGTGAACTAAATTGGATTAATGCAATTAGTAGCTAATACGAAATTCGATGCGGCCGTCTCCCTCTTTTTGTAGGGTTAGTTTTCCGCCGCCAAGCTTCGGCATAGGTTGTTGGGCCAGCGTTCCATTGGCAAACGAGAGCACGGGTCTGCTCCATAAGCAAAACTGTAAATGTCATAGAGAGCACGGGTCTGCTCCATTGGCAATCCCGATCAAGAATTGATGAAGCTTCTCCTCTGCTCGGTCTGCGGCAAATTTTCCAGCAATTCCACACGTACCCCCCCACAAGTGCAGGCATGTAGAGGCTTCAAACGATCCAGTTCGTCATAGAGAGTCAAGAGCTAATTATAATACTCGTCTACGTTCATTCCCTTGGTCTGCTTGCAACCGACAATGTCGGCTCGGAGCTGCTGGATGCGAGGCCCATTAGCCACGCAAAATCTGCGTTCTAGGTAATCCCACAGAGGTTTAGCCTCGTCGTGGAACGGTATGGAAGCCGCAATCTTCCCGTCAATCACACGCAAAATCCACGACACAATCATGGAATTCACGGTTTCCCAATTAAGCAATTTTCGTGCTTCCGTTGGCTTGTTGATTGTCCCATTAACAAACACAAATTTTCTTCTTGCTTTTAAGGAGAGAGTAATCGCTCTCGCCCACGCCACGTAATTATGACCGGTAAGAACAACGTGGGTGATAATGTTTCCAGGTTGATCTCCAGAGCCAAGGTAGTATGGAGATGCAACATCGATCTTGTCTTCACCACTCATGATCGCGAGGTGCTTACAATGCTGGTGTAATACCTTCGACCGAGTTGATAGCGCAGGCAAGTTCGGCGAGCACGAGAGTCTCTGATACCATGCGAATTATTTAGGCAGAATAATCTCTGGATTCCATTAATCAATTAAAGGGGTATAAATACAAGTCAGGTTATGTACTTGAGCCAAGAACTAAAGCCCTGCACTTATACACAATTCGGCCAAGCCATATAAAAATAAACTGTACATAGAAATCCTAACAGTAATAGTACACGTATCATTATAATACATATACCATATAATTCCTACTAATTATTAAAGCTTCATTTGGAAACTTTCTAATACAAAATTGAAGTTAGTATGTGTGTCTATATATATATATATATATATATATATATATATATATATATATATATATATATATATATATATATATATATATATAGGTTCACGTGAAAACTTAATCTTAGGAGAGTAAAAAAGATCACATCTTCACCATTGGATTAGATTAGAATAATTTGTGCGCCTAAGCCTTCATTTAGGGTAACGATGTCAATTTGAATTGTACGTTCGTAGACTTCCTAAACGTACGCTGCATGATTTCCTTCTACAACCGTTTCTCCAAGATCTCTTTCCAAAGCTATTTTCCTCCATCTGCGTTCTTCTTTCCTTGTTCAAAGGTATTGATCGGATTTCGTCCACAAGCGAAAGCTTTGCTCGGATTTCGTCCAGAAGCGAAAGTTTTCCGCCCTCCTTTGTGCTTGTCGGATTTCGTCCAGAAGCGAAAGCTTTCCGGCCTCGTTTGTGCTTGTCGAGTTTTAACCTGTCGTATTTGGTGTACTGCGTTTTGAGTTTCCAGGCCAACGATTACATGGACTTCGATGAGTATTATTGGAATGAATTTTGTTATTGTTTAAACTGATCAAGTTTTACATTCTGGGATGATTATATGTGCAATTTTTACCCAAAACGGACAATTAGGACATATGATTTTTACGTTGTTTCAATATTGTAAACAACATGCGCTTAATGGATTTAAAATTTGTGTAATGTACATGCTTAAACTTTGACTATTTTGTAATGCTCTCTAAATTGGATTATGATGGATATGCTATACGTTTGTTTGGATATTGCACTTTTACTCTAGTGTATGTTAAGATCACGTTTTTGTTAATTTATGAGTATTATTGATGCACACTTCGAATATTATTATGAGGCTTTTATATGCATTCTTATATTGCACTTTTACTATAGTTAATGTTAATAGCATGTATTTGTTAATTTCTGAATATTTTTGTTGCGCACCTTAAATATTATTGTGATGCTCTTATATGCATTTTGATATTGCCCTTCTTTTTTGAATACGTTTTGCTAAAGCATGTTTTTGTGATTTTTTTTGCATGGTTCCATTAGATTCAAATGATGTTCCCTTCAGTGCATCTGAAGCCGTTTCTGAATCATTTGATGTCAATAAAATGCATGTTTTTCCGGGATCCACTATGTACTGCACACCGGATTGTGACCCTGCTTTTAAACCGTGTGTTGGTATGGTGTTCAATAACTTGCATGATGGTATGGAATTTTATGATCAATATTCAAAAATTTGTGGGTTTGAATCAGGTAAAAGTAGTCAAAAAAGGGCTCGTGATGGCACTATTGTTTGGAAACATATGGTATGTAATAGGCAGGGCTTCAAAAATGTATCTAAATTGAAGACGGTTGCACCTAACAGTGAATCCTGCAAGAATGTTGATTTAGATAATCAGTTTAGTGGTGAAAATGAAGAGTTCACTACTTAAAATGAGTCATGTGAATCTGAAAATGAAGACCAAACTCACGTTGAAGATTTACCAACTCCGGGCGTATGCGTTGATGACGAGGAGAAAAAAAGACGTACAGTTTCTAATAGGTGTGATTGCAAAGCACGTGCGGTTTTTAGGCTTGCAGGCATGGATGGATATAAAATTACATTCTTAAGGAGAGGCACAATCATTGTATGTCTTCTCCCTCTTCTATGCCGTTTTTAAAAATCAACAGGAAACTTGATATTGGTCATCAAAAAATTTTCCTAAATTGTGCTAAAGCCAATATCGGTACCATTTAGTTTATTTATTTACTTTTTGGAATCTTTCAAGGAATGTTAGATATTGTATTTCTTGATAACTACAAAAGTTTTCTAAAAAAAGCTAACTACAAAAGTCAATAAGTAAACTTTTAAAAGTAATTGAATTGACTCAAGATTCAATACACATTTTTCTAACAAAAAAATTATTGGACACTTTCCTTATCGCGCAACGCGCGTATGAAAAACTAGTACTTGTATTACTATAGATGTCGATTTTGAGCTTTCAAGCTAAGGTTTTCAAAAATTCAAGGGATAACCGAATTAAGTCCTTATACTATTTTTCAAATCAATCAAGTCCATCGAGTTCCATAAAATTGCCAAATCCGCTATTTGCGTGGCAAACAACCAGTAACTCACTTACCAGCTGATGTGGATGTCCTAGTCGCATCGCTTTCCCTGTGGATAAGAACTCTACGCATGAATTTAGTTTGAGGCACATACGAATTTAGTGTCGTCATATTTGCGCCGTTGCCAGAGAAAGGAATTATTTTTCCTTTTGTAAAGAAAAGAAGAAGAAGAAGAAGAAAGAATATTTACTATTATTTTCTGAGTTTTGTGAGAGTATATGGTAAAAATTTATGTGAAATAAATTTTTTAAAAAAAGTAAACCAAATATGAGTTAAGAAATTATCCTAAATGGGACTAAAACATGGTTAAAACTCCAAAATAGGATTTCAAGTTTTAAATTGCTTAAATGGGACTCCAGATTACAATCTTACCCTTCTACAATTAAAACCCCGGTTCCGCTGCAATTCATCGATCCTCGCATCGTCGCTCTGCGATCTTCTTCCCCAATCTGCCATAATCTGCCGGCCAGGTAACCCTCTTTTCTTTTTCCTCCTCCTTCTTCCGCTTCTCTTCTTCTTTCTCTTCTTCTTTTCTCCTCCTTCTTCTTCTCAACCTCTACAATTTACTGGTATTCTGTTATCTTGTTCTTTTGATTTCAATTTTATTCATAAAAAAGGAATCGAGAATGCCATAAAATTATCAGTAATTTGAAAACTGTCAATTTATGACATTGCATTTATGAAGATGACAGTTTTACCCTGAAATTTAAAAATTTAGATAAATGCCATAATTGATGTTACTTATTTGTAATAATGTCACTTTTATGACATTACATTTGCCAAGGTGAGAGTTCAAGAAGAAAATGACATATTCAAAGAGTAATAATGCCATTCACATGACATTTTCGAAACAAAGATGACATATTTAAAATGTCAGTTTTTTTAGTAACAATGTCAGTTTCATGGCATACTGTCATCATGATAAATGTAATGGCATAAAATTGACATTTTTATAATTGCTAGTAATTTATGGCATTTTGAGGTTCCAAATTAATCAAAATTAATAAACAAATAAACAATTGAAATCTAAAGAAAAAGAAAACAGAGGACCCAGTTTGAAGAGGATGTGAACGAGAAGATAAAAAAGAAAAGAGGAGGAAGAAGAAGAGAGAAGAGAGAAGAGGAGAAGAGATGGGAGAGGAGAAGATTTGGAGAAAATTACCTGGATGTCTTGGAGAAGAGCAGGCAAGTGACCTTGGCATCTTCATCGCAAATTGCTGCTGGCCTTCATCGCAAATCGTTGTTCATCGCAGATGGCGTGGGCATCTGCATCTGATCGATGTTGGTCTGTCGGCTGGAGTGATGCGGTGAATTGCAGGTTTTTTTTTTTTAATTAAGGGCAGTTTTGTCAGATTACCTCTTTTTAGTCCTATTTTTGCTAAATAAAACATAGCAGTCTTATTTTTACAATTCTACCTTGTTTTAGTCCTATTTAGACAAATCTCTCATATGAGTTAACTGAATAATCACGTTGAATTTCATTCTTACTATATCACAAAAACTTCTTAATTAATTAGTAATAAATATTTCATCAAAGCGGTGATTATAACAAAAATTATGGTAATAATTAAAAACGGAAATGGTAGAAATATCATCACTGTGGTGGAATATTTACATCATGGTGCACCACAGTGAGGTAGAAGTGTAAAAGTCGCATTTCATACTCCGTATGTTTTAGTGTACATCCTCCCAGATAAGTGTCTGATCGATTTTTGGGATCCTGGATCAGTATTAGGGTGGCATCTTTTTATTGTACTTTTGTTGAAAAAATGTGTGGAAAATTGTATTAAATGACTATTTTGGGGCAATTTTTGAGTGGGGTCCACTTCCGATTTGGGCCGGGTCAAAGTGGTTTCGGATTGTCCTTGTTAAGGGCTACAATTCGATATATGGTACGCTCAAAACGGATAACGGGTGAATGAGAAATCGCTTTTCGAAGTTTACCCGTTAGAAGGGAAAAATGATGGGTTTCTAGTGTGTTAAGTTCCCACACCGGAAAACCCAAGGGATTTGCTACCCTTTATAAAGGGACTCTCCCCTTATGGAGTTAAGATTCTTAAGGGTAAAGGCTAGAAGAAAAACCGCGACTTGCGTGCGCGGGCGACCTGCGGACACGAATGTCGTCCAAAAATCTCTCTCAAGAGATATGATTAATTTTTGTTTTCTTCCCGAAACGTTTAATTTTTTCCCAGCGGCAGAAGTGCTCGGACAGAAGCCTACGGATCAGAACACCTCGTTGGTGTTCTGATGGCAGAACTCCTCATGGGGTATTCTGATGGCCGCCCATCAGAGTTGGGGGTACTCTGATGGCCTCTGATCAGAACCCCTCCCGGTGTGTTCTGATGGAGGTCTTCTGTCGCGTTTCTGAAACGTTACAACAATAAATGCCCAACGTTCTTATCTTTTAATGCAGCGTTAAATGGACAGTTCATGAACGATTCAATACCCAACGGACTGGTCATTGATGTCCAACGTTCAGGTCCATTAATTCACCATTTACACACAACAAATCCTCCTATATAATGGCTGGCAGGTGGTTTGCAACAACACACGTTCTTACACGAACTCATACACTCCAAGCACCTTTTGCACCTCTAAAAACACACTGCTAGCATTCCGAAAATTTCCCCTGTGTTCATACTGTGTTCTCGTTCGCTGGAACTTTTGTTTGTGTGCTCAAACATTAGTTCGTAGTCATCGTATCCTGGGAAACGATTGTTGCAACGCTCCTAGCACCGTGGGAGGCAACAAATACATTTTAAGGACATCGTGCGTAGCACGAGCTTTGACTAATTCTGCTTCATCTCCTTTCTTGTTTTTCTCTAGTCATTTTATTTAATTAATTTATTTTAATTAATTTTCTTTATTTTCCGAAACACACCCAACAACTTTCTCTTTTTCTTATGCATAGTACTACTCAGGATTTTTTTCGTTTAAAGATAACATTTTTTTATTAGGATGAATTTTGAACATGTGACATCTTCCTAACAAATGTACATCATTGCAATAAAGTGTTTTACAAATCATATTTCATGGAGTATTAAACAACGTTTTTAGTAGGACGAGATATTTATTTATTTATTTATTTATTTATTTATTTATTTATTTATTTATTTATTTATTTATTTATTTATTTATTTATTTATTTATTTATTTATTTATTTATTTATTTATTTATTTATTTATTTATTTATTTATTTATTTATTTATTTATTTATTTATTTATTTATTTATTTATTTATTTATTTATTTATTTATTTATTTATTTATTTATTTATTTATTTATTTATATCTACCACACAGCACGTCCTTTTGCATGCTTAAACGGATGAACTAAATAAATATAACTAATACGAAGTATAATTGAATGCCTGGGCATAAATTCACATATCAACCCAGGGTGAGATAACCAAATAAATAAAAAGAAAAAGGAAAGGTAAGGAAGAAAGACATATAATCACTTTTTCCCGAAATACGGAGTATTGAATATGAAAATATGAAATATAGAAGAAATTCAAAGTGAATATCAAAGTGATTATTAATGTTTATAAAGTATAGCGTCGCATGATACCTTATACCTTTAATGTAAGAGCATCCACAATGGGTGGATGTCTAGTCTGGGTAAATTGTGCCAGCTCATGAAATTAGACGTTTTGTGTTCATTTTCATCTCCAATGGAGGTAGTCTATGTGCTGAGTTGGCAAAAAAAATCAAACACCGTCCAAAGAACTTTCTGAGTGTAGAAAGGCATTTTAACTTGCTGACTCAACCATAAGCGTAGGAAAAAGCACGACTCTTTTTGGAAAAAACGGAAATAGGAAAACTTCCCAGCCAAATAATTAACCTCTCAGATTTAATATGTAAAAATTGAAGTAGTTTTATACTTGGTTACAGATCCGGTGTTTCTGATATGTACCAAGATCGATTCACTGTATATATGTGAGTATATATACTTATACACACTGATACAAACGTTCCAACTGCATCTGAATACTCTGGTTTCCATATACATTATACTATGTATATATAAACATACAATGAGAATATAAATAAATAGAAGGATTGGGAATTGAAGTAAATTTTGATTTTCAATTGCTGCTATCAAGAAACTATATACTTCGTAGAGGGCTGTTCTCATCAGGCCGGCCTGACGGGCTGCCCCGTCCGGCCGAGCCCGTTTGGGCACCTTCCCGGTGGAATTTTTTGATGAAATTTTTTGAGCATGTTCCTCATCAAGTCTAGTTTGTCCATACCAAATTTCAGCTCAAAATTCGATCGGGAAGGTCGTCAAATGATTTTTGCACGTTAACTGGTCCGGAAAATACATATTCCGGACCAGTTAACTTGCAAAAATCATTTGACGACCTACCCGATCGAATTTTGAGCTGAAATTTGGTATGGACAAACTAGACTTGATGAGGAACATGCTCAAAAAATTTCATCAAAAAATTCCACCGAGAAGGTGCCCAAACGGGCTCGGCCGGACGGGGCAGCCCGTCAGGCCGGCCTGACATGAAGTTTTCTCATACTTCGTATATATGAGAACATGATCTCCTCTGCCCGAATTTTATACGAACGGAGAAATTTAATTTGAAAACAAAATTTGTGAAATTAGTTTTCAGAAAATCGACACTTGACTTGAGGGGCTAGACATTATGCATTGGAAGTCTTTTTATGTATTTTAATATCTAGTCCCTCACATGATATGCCATTTATTTATTTGACATTTGGCAATTGTTTTTTAGACTACACATCCACAATTTGATACTGCGTATGAAATTAAATTTGAATGCATCTTAGAAAAGCTCATTCGCGCAAAAGAATCAATAAACTACGTAAAGGAAGGTTACTGCTCCGTGAGAGATAAAATCATACTTTTAAAGTTGGCTATTATGCGAAGATTATTGTGCAGTTTTTACTACCCTGATCATAATTTGATAGTCTTTTTTCCTATTCATTTGATCAAAATAAACTATTCTTAATTTTTACTTTGTATATCCAATTTTTATCAAATTTGATTTAATATAATTTCTGAATATATACATTTTATTTACTACAAATAATTTAGGTGTTGAACTATTGACGAGGATCATTTTGTTTTATTATCGTCGTTCAAGCATGTAAACCGCAACATGACTATGAACGTAACTTGGAATGGAGAGATCGAGTATTTACTTGGGTACTTATAAATTAAAGTTGGATCTAATTACAATAAATAAATTACGCAGTATAAATCAATTTTGATGTGATAACTTAATTACTAAAGTATACGAAGTATATTAGCAAGAGAATAGATACGTTACAGTGTAATTAGAAAAAAGAAATGTCGGCCAGGCCAATCTATGATTTCTTAATCCTCAAATAAATTAAACATGCATGTGGGATGCAAGTAAGATAGATTTCACCCCCAAAAACGTACAATTAAAGAGTAGATGAAATTAATAAGCAAACAAAAACACCTCAGTACCATGGGCGAACATAACTGTTATCCTCTTCTTCCTCTTCCTCATCTTCTTCGTCTTCCTCTTCCTCTTCCTCCTCCTCCTCGTCCTCAGCCATTTCTTCGAGTTCACGTTCAGTAGGAACCTCTTCATCGCAAAGTAGGTGGGAATAGTCCTCTTCCTGATCTCCCTCCTCCTCCTCCTCCTCCTCCTCCTCCCTTGTCTCCTCTTCCTCATCATCTCCCTCCTCCTCCCTTGTGTCATCGTCATCACTTTCGTCTTCGGGTGCTTCTTCATCCTGGTTGTTGTAAAACAGGTATTTTGAGCCCTTCTTGTCAGTGGGGCGCTCAAGGTAAATGCACTTGTCTTCTGTATCATCTTCTTGCCCACCTGAGCTGCAGCTTGTGCCGCGCCGGCTCTTAGTTTTCAAGGAATAATGTAAAGCTACCATCATCACCATTATTATACTACTAGTAGTGTATTACTACGTACTAGCTATTTGATGAATCTAAGCTAAGGTTTATTTTGTGATCGATCTCCAAGCTATATAGCTAGCGAGCTAGGAGTTTAAACGAAATGATCAATTTGTTGAGGTGAGGTTTGAAGATAGATACTCCGTATATGCATGTCCAGACCACGTTTCTATTTATAGGTGAAAGTGAGGGCCCACTTCAAATACGCGTAAGCCGTGAGACTTCTTTTTGAATGGCGTCAGCCGTGATCGAGGATTATTGGTGCGTATGTTGTGTACTGTGTCAAACTTATTTGTAGCCCGTCTTGTGGCACGAAAATCGGCTGATTTGGCTGATTCTAGTGAAATTTATGAAGTTCTGACTGAAGTGGCTGCATTAGCTGATTCTGCTGTATTAAAAGAAAATTATTTTTAAAACATATTTTATTAATAAAATAAAGAAAAAATTGTATGTAAAATTGCTAAAATGAGTAACTTCAGACAATACAGTCAGAAAAGTAATTTCAACCTTACTTTTTCTGTTTATTACAAAATTTAGCGTGCAAAAACAAAAATTACGTGTTTGGTGAAAAAGTTGATTGATAAGCCTGATAAACAGAAAAACGATGTTGTCAAACGGCCTCTTGATCTAATTCGTCCATTGCACTACAATTGAACTAATCGCTTAAGTTTCCACATATCTTTAATGTTATACTATCTATATACGGAATAAAGATAATAAGTTGAATTTGACACTATTCACAAATCGTTCTTTAATTTAATCACATTTAATTTAGGGAAAATATAAATATCTCAAACCTTAATGGGTATAAGATAAGTATTCTAAACTTGAAAGATATTTTTAAATTCGTCACATTACTAAGTTTCATAATTTGTTTTTTTATTTTAATTACTAATACAATTTAAATATAATGACTGTCAAAGTTGTGCGTTGACAAACATGAAAAGTTGAATGTTGCAACTAAAAAAGAAGGGGAGAAGAATAATTGCAAATATAATGAAGGTAAGAATTGAATAAGACACATGCTTAAAATAATACTCCGTAGGGTATTAATACATATGGTAATTTTAAATTACCAAATTTTGGTAATTCCTACCAAGTACCAACTAATAATTTATACACGTAATGGAAGTATGTTCATAGTCGTACACGTATGGAATAAGGTAATAGTACACGTATGATTATAATACATATACCATATAATTCCTACTAACGTTAACGGTGCATACGTGGCATGAGAAACAACCAATTAAAAATCAATAAATAGAATATCTCTCTCCTTATTTTAAGGATCTTACATCATTTTGATAAGTTTTTCTTCACAATGTCAAGCACAATGTCTAGATGTAGACATTGTGGTTGACATTGCAGACACAAACTTACCATAAACGCACAAGACCATGGAAAAAAGGAGAAAGAAATGTCATAAAATCAATATTTTGTGTCTATCGCTCTCATGCCACATGTTCACCGTGCACATTGTAGCATTGGAGATGCTCTAATTATTAAAGCTTCATTTGGAAACTTTCTATTACAAAATTGAAGTTAGTGTGTGTGTAACACCCCGGCCCCGTGGGACCCGAGGTAGTTACTCCAGACCTCTAGTACTGTCCTCACAAACCACCACGAGCCTTTACCGCGCACTTTGTCCTCACTCATGCGCGCCCTGAGAAACTTCCAGGGGGTCACCCATCCCGAGACTACTCCCGAGCAAACACGCTTAACTTAGGAGTTCTTAGGTAATGAGCTCCCTTAAAAGGAGATGCACCTCTGTTGGTATGAGTAGTACTATTAATCTGTTTATATTAAATCTCAAGTGTTACAATCACCCCCACTTAGGATCGCAACGTCCTCGTTGCACCCATGAACCAATCTCAAATCTCAATCAAATCCCAGAATCTTCCTCCGCTAAGTGCCCGCCCGATATCCAACGGGTCAGCATACTGTCGCGGGGTTGCTCTGATACCACCTGTAAATACTCCGGGTCCTGCGGGGCCGGGGTGTTACAGTATGTGTGTGTGTGTATTCCACACATTTATTTATTTAGCTCATTCCGAAAATTGAGTACAAGAATTTTATCGTAGCAGGACCAATAATTTTCCATGCATGCCTGTCAAAACTGTCGATATCAACAGAATTCAACTAGCTAGGAAGCATCGAATGAAGAGTTTGTTTACGTGTGATACGGTTGTGGCAAGTTACGGAGTGTGAAAAGTCAGAAAATGTGAGTGCGCTGGCAGTGGCGGACCCAGAAAGTCAGAGCCACGGGGTCTCTACCCTTTTATATCTCTAATCTCTAATCTAATTAATATAAAACTAATTAAAAAATATTAAAGAAGCATAACGCTTCATAGTTAACGTACGCCATCATAACATTAAGGTATTATAAATAAAAAAAATACATATAAAAATCATTCAATAATTCTACAGATGTACCCTCCTAAGTTTCATTTGTTGGAAATATAGAATCATCACTAATAGTTTTGGTCTATTTAATTAAAATAGGCCAAAATGACATAGTTTTGGTCTATTTAATTAAAATAGTTTTGAAAAAAAGGGTTGTTGGAAATATTCTATAATAGAATCATCACTAATAGTTTTGGTCTATTAAATTAAAATAGTTTTGGAAAACAAAAAAGAAGCCCAAATTACATTACCGTATTATAAAGCAAAAAAATACATATAAAAATCATTCATCAATTCTACAGATGTACCCTCCTAAGCTTCATTTGTTGGAAATATTCTATAATAGAATCATCACTAATAGTTTTGGTCTATTTAATTAAAATAGGCCAAAACGACGTAGTTTTGGTCTATTTGATGAAAATAGGTTTGGAAAACAACAAAAAAACCAAGGGGATTCAAACATGGTACCTCCCACAACCTAGAAACCTAAATTCGTGTGCTCCCATTTAATAATTAATTTTATATAATATACATAATATATATAGGTATTTTTTCGAGGTGTACGGGGTCCCGGGACCCCGTGGGACCCTTACTGGGTCCGCCTCTGTGCGCTGGAGATGATTTTACAATATCAGAAGATAATTTCAATTGTATTTCAAAATTTACCTTCACAATTAAAATTGTGTGATTTTATACTTAGTGTAATTTACACAAATTTTTTAAACTTAAGTAAAAATATATTCGTAACTAAATATTTATTGAGTTCAAATTTAATTTACTAAATACGCATTCATAAAAAATTAATTTCGGATTTATCTAAAAATGTATTTTCTAATTATTAATGTTTTTTCCTAAAGCATAAGGAAATTTGAGCGCATTTCAAAATTTAGCTTCATAATTGGGTTTTTTGGTCCGGAACTATTTTATTAAATATAGCCTCATAATTAAATAATATACAAATAGAAAATACAATATTTCGTACTTTAAAAAATCACGGTATTGGCACAGAAATTCGGCACGCATTTACAGATTTTCGTGCCAAAGTGTTTTTGGCACGGATTTGGCATATCCCTTCCAAATCGATCCCTCCCAAAATCTCTGTCAATCATGTGTTTTTTTGTAGTGAAGTCGGATGTTTTCTTTAGGACTGAAATTTGATGGTCTAGTTTGGTCTGGTCTGATCTGGTCGGGTCTGGTCTGGTCTCGTAAACATCTGATCTCTGTGTATTTATAACTACGGAAGTCTGGTCAGGTCTCGGACTGAAAACCGTGAAACATCCGTAGGGTTCAATTATGTTCATCATTTGTTAGTGGAGTATGAATGCTTTCAAAGGTTTTAGTATAAACTCTATACTCCGATTTAATTTAAACTGAAATGTTTGTGAAATGCTTTCATGTAAAAATAAAAACAGAAAATGTACTTTTTAATAAACATAGTTATCTTGCTACAGTGGTTAATTTTGAGTCTGGTTCAAGGGATAATGGTTATCAGCTTTCTTTCTGTTAGTTGACCCACACTCTGAATTTTCGGTTATTAATCTAAGCGGATATCATTCAAAAAAACATAGTTATCTTTTCTTGACATAATTTGTTTCATCTTTGAGACCTTGACCGGCCAGGCTGTACGGAAATGTCAGTCTATTCCGAAACAAATACAATACAAAAATGATCTTTGTACCCACTCTTATATCCACTTTTGTACCCACCTATGTTTGTGAAATGTTTTTTTTCTGTGAACCCCGACTCACAGACAATATTTTGCACAAACAAAATATTGTCTATGAACCGGGTTCATAGACAAAAAAAAACCTCCACAAACATGGTGGGTATAAGAGTGGGTACATCAAGCATTGTTGAATATAATAATCAATGTGAAATTTAAAAAAAAAATACGGAGTACTCCGTAAGTATGAAAGCCTTTAGCCGCAAAGTTAAAGTCTCGAACAACACATTTGAAACACTACACCGTGATTTATTAACTTTAGTTTAAATAAAGTTACTTTCGTTTAGCACTTTAGCTATAGTTATCAAATAAACTTTGAAATTTGGTGTTGGTTTTTTTTAAAAGTCAGTTTTTTGTAGACTTGACAGTTTTTTTAAGTATATTGAAACGAATCAGTTCAATTTTGAAAGAAGTCATGTTCAAATGACACTTTGTTTCAGGCCTCAAAATGTTCTTATTTCAAATTTATATTTTTACCAGATCCAGTCACCATCTGATTGATACAATTATTACGATTAATTTAAGATGTATGTTAGTGCTCAACTGCTCATATGTATTGTCGAGAAAGATAATTTGAAGGAGCTTGCCAAGGAAGATCCCAAAAAAGGCTAGTAGACACAATTACTACGGTAGTAAAAATTATGTAACGATTTGGAGTATATGTTTAATTAATACGGTAGTAAAAATTATGTAATATATGATCACAATTAATTGATGAAATCATGTTGTATACTTGTATACTATATACGTATAAAGAAGTGTTCCAAATGTAACGAGATATCAATCACAATTATAATTTTTTTAATCTAATTTTTTTTCATCCACAAATTACATGATAAAAAGTATATGTATGCATATTTTACAAACTTTTATATCAATAAACTTCTTAATGTATAAAGTTTATTTTCTTAATGTATCAAGCAGCGGATTATGCTAGTACGGGCTTGACAAGAGATCTTTGGAAAACTAAAGAAGCAAGAGTGGTGAAATGGGAGCCACCCCCGGAGGG